GGCCTAAATTGACCCTAAATTATTTTCAGTCTTACTTGGCCTAAGACCCTTTTAAACTAATGTGATATGTTATTTGTAAGTTTTCTTTCCATTTAAAGTACATTAAATACATATGTAAGGATTATTTATAACCAAAAAGCTTTACAAATTTAAAATTGCTGGAAAATATTACATCTTCATGTAAGGCCCCCCTTCATTGGAAAACCTCCATTTTTAGCCACAGGCTCATATAAATTTGACTTTTTAATAATTATGATAAGTCTGATAAATCAAATGAGTACTCTGTTGCTTTTAATACATAATATATTATATATTAAGGCATTTCAAAAGTATTTTTTTGCAATATTTAAATTTTTTAAGCCCCAAATGTTGACAGTTGAAAATTTTCAATTTTAACATCTAAATTTAACACTCAAAGTTGAATATAGAATTAGTCATATTGTCTATAATATATATCCTATTGCCATGAAACTTTGTAAGCAGTCTTATAATTTAATAAGCTTTGGTCATACCAAGTTTCATTAAGATTGGTCAACTTTTTCTACCCTAAGAGGTGAAATCAGGAAATATAGAATCTGTACTTTGGCAACTTCCCTGAATGATTTGATGGTGTCAATTTATCAAATAGCATAAAACTAAAGGATTAAAACTTTTATTTGATAGAATTTCTGCAAAAATGACCAATTTTGGCATTTTATGGTCAAAATAAGCATTTCATAGCTTTTTCAATTTTGATGCATAAGTGGCATTCTGACTTTCTATCTGACAGGTTTTTATGTGTCAATATTTGTGTTTCTATGCTTCAATCCAGTTGTATTACTCATTTGTGAACTCTGAATCTACAGAAAAGAAGATTATCTCAGACAATATGTTCAAAATGTGTTGTATATATGGTCCTCGTCTAACGCCCTGTTTGGATCGAGTTAAATGTGAGGAGCTTGGAACATAAAAGTTGAAGTCCATTATAAAGACCTCACTAAATTTGTATAAAAAGCACTTAACAATGTCTTTTGTACCTGTTTTATGTCACATAATATCTTTCTTTTCTTCTGTAGGATAGCAAGTGGTTCAAATATAAGCCTGTTGAGACTAAAATTGCATGCATGTTTTTCACTAAAAAGTGAAAAATCTTTGTATCAGACCATACTGTTTGCAAAAAAAGTTGAATGCAAGAGTCTTTTTGTGCTCCGATTTATTGTATCATGTCACCTGAGTATAGAAATGATAGAAAAGACACAAAATTTTATTTCATATAGCTTCAATATGCATTTTTAAATGTAAATATGTGATACGGCCTAAATTGACCCTAAATTATTTTCAGTCTTACTTGGCCTAAGACCCTTTTAAACTAATGTGATATGTTATTTGTAAGTTTTCTTTCCATTTAAAGTACATTAAATACATATGTAAGGATTATTTATAACCAAAAAGCTTTACAAATTTAAAATTGCTGGAAAATATTACATCTTCATGTAAGGCCCCCCCTTCATTGGAAAACCTCCATTTGTAGCCACAGGCTCATATAAATTTGACTTTTTAATAATTATGATAAGTCTGATAAATCAAATGAGTACTCTATTGCTTTTAGTACATAGTATATTATATATTAAGGCATTTCAAAAGTATTTTTTTGCAATATTTAAATTTTTTAAGCCCAAAATGTTGATAGTTGAAAATTTTCAATTTTAACATCTAAATTTAACACTCAAAGTTGAATATAGAATTAGTCATATTGTCTATAATATATATCCTATTGCCATGAATCTTTGTAAGCAGTCTTATAATTTAATAAGCTTTGGTCATACCAAGTTTCATTAAGATTGGTCAACTTTTTCTACCCTATTAAGGAGGTGAAATCAGGAAATATAGAATCTGTACTTTGGCAACTTCCCTGAATGATTTGATGGTGTCAATTTATCAAATAGCATAAAACTAAAGGATTAAAACTTTTATTTGATAGAATTTCTGCAAAAATGACCAATTTTGGCATTTTATGGTCAAAATAAGCATTTCATAGCTTTTTCAATTTTGATGCATAAGTGGCATTCTGACTTTCTATCTGACAGGTTTTTATGTGTCAATATTTGTGTTTCTATGCTTCAATCCAGTTGTATTACTCATTTGTGAACTCTGAATCTACAGAAAAGAAGATTATCTCAGACAATATGTTCAAAATGTGTTGTATATATGGTCCTCGTCTAACGCCCTGTTTGGATCGAGTTAAATGTGAGGAGCTTGGAACATAAAAGTTGAAGTCCATTATAAAGACCTCACTAAATTTGTATAAAAAGCACTTAACAATGTCTTTTGTACCTGTTTTATGTCACATAATATCTTTCTTTTCTTCTGTAGGATAGCAAGTGGTTCAAATATAAGCCTGTTGAGACTAAAATTGCATGCATGTTTTTCACTAAAAAGTGAAAAATCTTTGTATCAGACCATACTGTTTGCAAAAAAAGTTGAATGCAAGAGTCTTTTTGTGCTCAGATTTATTGTATCATGTCACCTGAGTATAGAAATGATAGAAAAGACACAAAATTTTATTTCATATAGCTTCAATATGCATTTTTAAATGTAAATATGTGATACGGCCTAAATTGACCCTAAATTATTTTCAGTCTTACTTGGCCTAAGACCCTTTTAAACTAATGTGATATGTTATTTGTAAGTTTTCTTTCCATTTAAAGTACATTAAATACATATGTAAGGATTATTTATAACCAAAAAGCTTTACAAATTTAAAATTGCTGGAAAATATTACATCTTCATGTAAGGCCCCCCTTCATTGGAAAACCTCCATTTTTAGCCACAGGCTCATATAAATTTGACTTTTTAATAATTATGATAAGTCTGATAAATCAAATGAGTACTCTATTGCTTTTAATACATAATATATTATATATTAAGGCATTTCAAAAGTATTTTTTTGCAATATTTAAATTTTTTAAGCCCCAAATGTTGATAGTTGAAAATTTTCAATTTTAACATCTAAATTTAACACTCAAAGTTGAATATAGAATTAGTCATATTGTCTATAATATATATCCTATTGCCATGAAACTTTGTAAGCAGTCTTATAATTTAATAAGCTTTGGTCATACCAAGTTTCATTAAGATTGGTCAACTTTTTCTACCCTATTAAGGAGGTGAAATCAGGAAATATAGAATCTGTACTTTGGCAACTTCCCTGAATGATTTGATGGTGTCAATTTATCAAATAGCATAAAACTAAAGGATTAAAACTTTTATTTGATAGAATTTCTGCAAAAATGACCAATTTTGGCATTTTATGGTCAAAATAAGCATTTCATAGCTTTTTCAATTTTGATGCATAAGTGGCATTCTGACTTTCTATCTGACAGGTTTTTATGTGTCAATATTTGTGTTTCTATGCTTCAATCCAGTTGTATTACTCATTTGTGAACTCTGAATCTACAGAAAAGAAGATTATCTCAGACAATATGTTCAAAATGTGTTGTATATATGGTCCTCGTCTAACGCCCTGTTTGGATCGAGTTAAATGTGAGGAGCTTGGAACATAAAAGTTGAAGTCCATTATAAAGACCTCACTAAATTTGTATAAAAAGCACTTAACAATGTCTTTTGTACCTGTTTTATGTCACATAATATCTTTCTTTTCTTCTGTAGGATAGCAAGTGTTTCAAATATAAGCCTGTTGAGACTAAAATTGCATGCATGTTTTTCACTAAAAAGTGAAAAATCTTTGTATCAGACCATACTGTTTGCAAAAAAAGTTGAATGCAAGAGTCTTTTTGTGCTCAGATTTATTGTATCATGTCACCTGAGTATAGAAATGATAGAAAAGACACAAAATTTTATTTCATATAGCTTCAATATGCATTTTTAAATGTAAATATGTGATACGGCCTAAATTGACCCTAAATTATTTTCAGTCTTACTTGGCCTAAGACCCTTTTAAACTAATGTGATATGTTATTTGTAAGTTTTCTTTCCATTTAAAGTACATTAAATACATATGTAAGGATTATTTATAACCAAAAAGCTTTACAAATTTAAAATTGCTGGAAAATATTACATCTTCATGTAAGGCCCCCCTTCATTGGAAAACCTCCATTTTTAGCCACAGGCTCATATAAATTTGACTTTTTAATAATTATGATAAGTCTGATAAATCAAATGAGTACTCTATTGCTTTGAATACATAATATATTATATATTAAGGCATTTCAAAAGTATTTTTTTGCAATATTTAAATTTTTTAAGCCCCAAATGTTGATAGTTGAAAATTTTCAATTTTAACATCTAAATTTAACACTCAAAGTTGAATATAGAATTAGTCATATTGTCTATAATATATATCCTATTGCCATGAAACTTTGTAAGCAGTCTTATAATTTAATAAGCTTTGGTCATACCAAGTTTCATTAAGATTGGTCAACTTTTTCTACCCTATTAAGAAGGTGAAATCAGGAAATATAGAATCTGTACTTTGGCAACTTCCCTGAATGATTTGATGGTGTCAATTTATCAAATAGCATAAAACTAAAGGATTAAAACTTTTATTTGATAGAATTTCTGCAAAAATGACCAATTTTGGCATTTTATGGTCAAAATAAGCATTTCATAGCTTTTTCAATTTTGATGCATAAGTGGCATTCTGACTTTCTATCTGACAGGTTTTTATGTGTCAATATTTGTGTTTCTATGCTTCAATCCAGTTGTATTACTCATTTGTGAACTCTGAATCTACAGAAAAGAAGATTATCTCAGACAATATGTTCAAAATGTGTTGTATATATGGTCCTCGTCTAACGCCCTGTTTGGATCGAGTTAAATGTGAGGAGCTTGGAACATAAAAGTTGAAGTCCATTATAAAGACCTCACTAAATTTGTATAAAAAGCACTTAACAATGTCTTTTGTACCTGTTTTATGTCACATAATATCTTTCTTTTCTTCTGTAGGATAGCAAGTGGTTCAAATATAAGCCTGTTGAGACTAAAATTGCATGCATGTTTTTCACTAAAAAGTGAAAAATCTTTGTATCAGACCATACTGTTTGCAAAAAAAGTTGAATGCAAGAGTCTTTTTGTGCTCCGATTTATTGTATCATGTCACCTGAGTATAGAAATGATAGAAAAGACACAAAATTTTATTTCATATAGCTTCAATATGCATTTTTAAATGTAAATATGTGATACGGCCTAAATTGACCCTAAATTATTTTCAGTCTTACTTGGCCTAAGACCCTTTTAAACTAATGTGATATGTTATTTGTAAGTTTTCTTTCCATTTAAAGTACATTAAATACATATGTAAGGATTATTTATAACCAAAAAGCTTTACAAATTTAAAATTGCTGGAAAATATTACATCTTCATGTAAGGCCCCCCTTCATTGGAAAACCTCCATTTTTAGCCACAGGCTCATATAAATTTGACTTTTTAATAATTATGATAAGTCTGATAAATCAAATGAGTACTCTATTGCTTTTAATACATAATATATTATATATTAAGGCATTTCAAAAGTATTTTTTTGCAATATTTAAATTTTTTAAGCCCCAAATGTTGATAGTTGAAAATTTTCAATTTTAACATCTAAATTTAACACTCAAAGTTGAATATAGAATTAGTCATATTGTCTATAATATATATCCTATTGCCATGAAACTTTGTAAGCAGTCTTATAATTTAATAAGCTTTGGTCATACCAAGTTTCATTAAGATTGGTCAACTTTTTCTACCCTATTAGGTGAAATCAGGAAATATAGAATCTGTACTTTGGCAACTTCCCTGAATGATTTGATGGTGTCAATTTATCAAATAGCATAAAACTAAAGGATTAAAACTTTTATTTGATAGAATTTCTGCAAAAATGACCAATTTTGGCATTTTATGGTCAAAATAAGCATTTCATAGCTTTTTCAATTTTGATGCATAAGTGGCATTCTGACTTTCTATCTGACAGGTTTTTATGTGTCAATATTTGTGTTTCTATGCTTCAATCCAGTTGTATTACTCATTTGTGAACTCTGAATCTACAGAAAAGAAGATTATCTCAGACAATATGTTCAAAATGTGTTGTATATATGGTCCTCGTCTAACGCCCTGTTTGGATCGAGTTAAATGTGAGGAGCTTGGAACATAAAAGTTGAAGTCCATTATAAAGACCTCACTAAATTTGTATAAAAAGCACTTAACAATGTCTTTTGTACCTGTTTTATGTCACATAATATCTTTCTTTTCTTCTGTAGGATAGCAAGTGGTTCAAATATAAGCCTGTTGAGACTAAAATTGCATGCATGTTTTTCACTAAAAAGTGAAAAATCTTTGTATCAGACCATACTGTTTGCAAAAAAAGTTGAATGCAAGAGTCTTTTTGTGCTCCGATTTATTGTATCATGTCACCTGAGTATAGAAATGATAGAAAAGACACAAAATTTTATTTCATATAGCTTCAATATGCATTTTTAAATGTAAATATGTGATACGGCCTAAATTGACCCTAAATTATTTTCAGTCTTACTTGGCCTAAGACCCTTTTAAACTAATGTGATATGTTATTTGTAAGTTTTCTTTCCATTTAAAGTACATTAAATACATATGTAAGGATTATTTATAACCAAAAAGCTTTACAAATTTAAAATTGCTGGAAAATATTACATCTTCATGTAAGGCCCCCCTTCATTGGAAAACCTCCATTTTTAGCCACAGGCTCATATAAATTTGACTTTTTAATAATTATGATAAGTCTGATAAATCAAATGAGTACTCTATTGCTTTTAATACATAATATATTATATATTAAGGCATTTCAAAAGTATTTTTTTGCAATATTTAAATTTTTTAAGCCCCAAATGTTGATAGTTGAAAATTTTCAATTTTAACATCTAAATTTAACACTCAAAGTTGAATATAGAATTAGTCATATTGTCTATAATATATATCCTATTGCCATGAAACTTTGTAAGCAGTCTTATAATTTAATAAGCTTTGGTCATACCAAGTTTCATAAAGATTGGTCAACTTTTTCTACCCTATTAGGTCCGGGTACACAGTTATCGTCCTTTGATTTTCGTTGTCCACGAATATAGTCCCTAGTGTGGACAGTGTGTTACTTGTCGATTTTTTTTATACCCCTTCCGAATTTATTTCTCCATGTTTTATGACTCAAATAGTAAGTAGGGGGGTGAAATGACACTGTAAAAAAATTTGGGTCATGAATTTTAAAGTAAAGTAGTGATTTGGTCCAGCTGAAAAATGTTAAAAATTAGCACTTCGGAGGCTGTCAAAAGATTTGAAGACCCCCTCAGCATGAAATTGTCCATATTTTGAGTTAGAGCCGATGAAGTTTTCTATAATTTTGATATAATTTGTCCCAAAAGTAGTACAACACACTGTAAAAATATTATTGAGAAAGCGCAGGTGGGATTTTTTTAATTTTCATTTATTGTCTAAAAGAAATGCAATACGAAATAACTGTGTACTCAGACCTAAGAGGTGAAATCAGGAAATATAGAATCTGTACTTTGGCAACTTCCCTGAATGATTTGATGGTGTCAATTTATCAAATAGCATAAAACTAATGGATTAAAACTTTTATTTGATAGAATTTCTGCAAAAATGACCAATTTTGGCATTTTATGGTCAAAATAAGCTTTTCATAGCTTTTTCAATTTTGATGCATAAGTGGCATTCTGACTTTCTATCTGACAGGTTTTTATGTGTCAATATTTGTGTTTCTATGCTTCAATCCAGTTGTATTACTCATTTGTGAACTCTGAATCTACAGAAAAGAAGATTATCTCAGACAATATGTTCAAAATGTGTTGTATATATGGTCCTCGTCTAACGCCCTGTTTGGATCGAGTTAAATGTGAGGAGCTTGGAACATAAAAGTTGAAGTCCATTATAAAGACCTCACTAAATTTGTATAAAAAGCACTTAACAATGTCTTTTGTACCTGTTTTATGTCACATAATATCTTTCTTTTCTTCTGTAGGATAGCAAGTGGTTCAAATATAAGCCTGTTGAGACTAAAATTGCATGCATGTTTTTCACTAAAAAGTGAAAAATCTTTGTATCAGACCATACTGTTTGCAAAAAAAGTTGAATGCAAGAGTCTTTTTGTGCTCAGATTTATTGTATCATGTCACCTGAGTATAGAAATGATAGAAAAGACACAAAATTTTATTTCATATAGCTTCAATATGCATTTTTAAATGTAAATATGTGATACGGCCTAAATTGACCCTAAATTATTTTCAGTCTTACTTGGCCTAAGACCCTTTTAAACTAATGTGATATGATATTTGTAAGTTTTCTTTCCATTTAAAGTACATTAAATACATATGTAAGGATTATTTATAACCAAAAAGCTTTACAAATTTAAAATTGCTGGAAAATATTACATCTTCATGTAAGGCCCCCCTTCATTGGAAAACCTCCATTTTTAGCCACAGGCTCATATAAATTTGACTTTTTAATAATTATGATAAGTCTGATAAATCAAATGAGTACTCTATTGCTTTTAATACATAATATATTATATATTAAGGCATTTCAAAAGTATTTTTTTGCAATATTTAAATTTTTTAAGCCCCAAATGTTGATAGTTGAAAATTTTCAATTTTAACATCTAAATTTAACACTCAAAGTTGAATATAGAATTAGTCATATTGTCTATAATATATATCCTATTGCCATGAAACTTTGTAAGCAGTCTTATAATTTAATAAGCTTTGGTCATACCAAGTTTCATTAAGATTGGTCAACTTTTTCTACCCTATTAGGTGAAATCAGGAAATATAGAATCTGTACTTTGGCAACTTCCCTGAATGATTTGATGGTGTCAATTTATCAAATAGCATAAAACTAAAGGATTAAAACTTTTATTTGATAGAATTTCTGCAAAAATGACCAATTTTGGCATTTTATGGTCAAAATAAGCATTTCATAGCTTTTTCAATTTTGATGCATAAGTGGCATTCTGACTTTCTATCTGACAGGTTTTTATGTGTCAATATTTGTGTTTCTATGCTTCAATCCAGTTGTATTACTCATTTGTGAACTCTGAATCTACAGAAAAGAAGATTATCTCAGACAATATGTTCAAAATGTGTTGTATATATGGTCCTCGTCTAACGCCCTGTTTGGATCGAGTTAAATGTGAGGAGCTTGGAACATAAAAGTTGAAGTCCATTATAAAGACCTCACTAAATTTGTATAAAAAGCACTTAACAATGTCTTTTGTACCTGTTTTATGTCACATAATATCTTTCTTTTCTTCTGTAGGATAGCAAGTGGTTCAAATATAAGCCTGTTGAGACTAAAATTGCATGCATGTTTTTCACTAAAAAGTGAAAAATCTTTGTATCAGACCATACTGTTTGCAAAAAAAGTTGAATGCAAGAGTCTTTTTGTGCTCCGATTTATTGTATCATGTCACCTGAGTATAGAAATGATAGAAAAGACACAAAATTTTATTTCATATAGCTTCAATATGCATTTTTAAATGTAAATATGTGATACGGCCTAAATTGACCCTAAATTATTTTCAGTCTTACTTGGCCTAAGACCCTTTTAAACTAATGTGATATGTTATTTGTAAGTTTTCTTTCCATTTAAAGTACATTAAATACATATGTAAGGATTATTTATAACCAAAAAGCTTTACAAATTTAAAATTGCTGGAAAATATTACATCTTCATGTAAGGCCCCCCTTCATTGGAAAACCTCCATTTTTAGCCACAGGCTCATATAAATTTGACTTTTTAATAATTATGATAAGTCTGATAAATCAAATGAGTACTCTATTGCTTTTAATACATAATATATTATATATTAAGGCATTTCAAAAGTATTTTTTTGCAATATTTAAATTTTTTAAGCCCCAAATGTTGATAGTTGAAAATTTTCAATTTTAACATCTAAATTTAACACTCAAAGTTGAATATAGAATTAGTCATATTGTCTATAATATATATCCTATTGCCATGAAACTTTGTAAGCAGTCTTATAATTTAATAAGCTTTGGTCATACCAAGTTTCATAAAGATTGGTCAACTTTTTCTACCCTATTAGGTCCGGGTACACAGTTATCGTCCTTTGATTTTCGTTGTCCACGAATATAGTCCCTAGTGTGGACAGTGTGTTACTTGTCGATTTTTTTTATACCCCTTCCGAATTTATTTCTCCATGTTTTATGACTCAAATAGTAAGTAGGGGGGTGAAATGACACTGTAAAAAAATTTGGGTCATGAATTTTAAAGTAAAGTAGTGATTTGGTCCAGCTGAAAAATGTTAAAAATTAGCACTTCGGAGGCTGTCAAAAGATTTGAAGACCCCCTCAGCATGAAATTGTCCATATTTTGAGTTAGAGCCGATGAAGTTTTCTATAATTTTGATATAATTTGTCCCAAAAGTAGTACAACACACTGTAAAAATATTATTGAGAAAGCGCAGGTGGGATTTTTTTAATTTTCATTTATTGTCTAAAAGAAATGCAATACGAAATAACTGTGTACTCAGACCTAAGAGGTGAAATCAGGAAATATAGAATCTGTACTTTGGCAACTTCCCTGAATGATTTGATGGTGTCAATTTATCAAATAGCATAAAACTAATGGATTAAAACTTTTATTTGATAGAATTTCTGCAAAAATGACCAATTTTGGCATTTTATGGTCAAAATAAGCTTTTCATAGCTTTTTCAATTTTGATGCATAAGTGGCATTCTGACTTTCTATCTGACAGGTTTTTATGTGTCAATATTTGTGTTTCTATGCTTCAATCCAGTTGTATTACTCATTTGTGAACTCTGAATCTACAGAAAAGAAGATTATCTCAGACAATATGTTCAAAATGTGTTGTATATATGGTCCTCGTCTAACGCCCTGTTTGGATCGAGTTAAATGTGAGGAGCTTGGAACATAAAAGTTGAAGTCCATTATAAAGACCTCACTAAATTTGTATAAAAAGCACTTAACAATGTCTTTTGTACCTGTTTTATGTCACATAATATCTTTCTTTTCTTCTGTAGGATAGCAAGTGGTTCAAATATAAGCCTGTTGAGACTAAAATTGCATGCATGTTTTTCACTAAAAAGTGAAAAATCTTTGTATCAGACCATACTGTTTGCAAAAAAAGTTGAATGCAAGAGTCTTTTTGTGCTCAGATTTATTGTATCATGTCACCTGAGTATAGAAATGATAGAAAAGACACAAAATTTTATTTCATATAGCTTCAATATGCATTTTTAAATGTAAATATGTGATACGGCCTAAATTGACCCTAAATTATTTTCAGTCTTACTTGGCCTAAGACCCTTTTAAACTAATGTGATATGATATTTGTAAGTTTTCTTTCCATTTAAAGTACATTAAATACATATGTAAGGATTATTTATAACCAAAAAGCTTTACAAATTTAAAATTGCTGGAAAATATTACATCTTCATGTAAGGCCCCCCTTCATTGGAAAACCTCCATTTTTAGCCACAGGCTCATATAAATTTGACTTTTTAATAATTATGATAAGTCTGATAAATCAAATGAGTACTCTATTGCTTTTAATACATAATATATTATATATTAAGGCATTTCAAAAGTATTTTTTTGCAATATTTAAATTTTTTAAGCCCCAAATGTTGATAGTTGAAAATTTTCAATTTTAACATCTAAATTTAACACTCAAAGTTGAATATAGAATTAGTCATATTGTCTATAATATATATCCTATTGCCATGAAACTTTGTAAGCAGTCTTATAATTTAATAAGCTTTGGTCATACCAAGTTTCATTAAGATTGGTCAACTTTTTCTACCCTATTAGGTGAAATCAGGAAATATAGAATCTGTACTTTGGCAACTTCCCTGAATGATTTGATGGTTTCAATTTATCAAATAGCATAAAACTAAAGGATTAAAACTTTTATTTGATAGAATTTCTGCAAAAATGACCAATTTTGGCATTTTATGGTCAAAATAAGCATTTCATAGCTTTTTCAATTTTGATGCATAAGTGGCATTCTGACTTTCTATCTGACAGGTTTTTATGTGTCAATATTTGTGTTTCTATGCTTCAATCCAGTTGTATTACTCATTTGTGAACTCTGAATTTACAGAAAAGAAGATTATCTCAGACAATATGTTCAAAATGTGTTGTATATATGGTCCTCGTCTAACGCCCTGTTTGGATCGAGTTAAATGTGAGGAGCTTGGAACATAAAAGTTGAAGTCCATTATAAAGACCTCACTAAATTTGTATAAAAAGCACTTAACAATGTCTTTTGTACCTGTTTTATGTCACATAATATCTTTCTTTTCTTCTGTAGGATAGCAAGTGGTTCAAATATAAGCCTGTTGAGACTAAAATTGCATGCATGTTTTTCACTAAAAAGTGAAAAATCTTTGTATCAGACCATACTGTTTGCAAAAGAAGTTGAATGCAAGAGTCTTTTTGTGCTCAGATTTATTGTATCATGTCACCTGAGTATAGAAATGATAGAAAAGACACAAAATTTTATTTCATATAGCTTCAATATGCATTTTTAAATGTAAATATGTGATACGGCCTAAATTGACCCTAAATTATTTTCAGTCTTACTTGGCCTAAGACCCTTTTAAACTAATGTGATATGTTATTTGTAAGTTTTCTTTCCATTTAAAGTACATTAAATACATATGTAAGGATTATTTATAACCAAAAAGCTTTACAAATTTAAAATTGCTGGAAAATATTACATCTTCATGTAAGGCCCCCCTTCATTGGAAAACCTCCATTTTTAGCCACAGGCTCATATAAATTTGACTTTTTAATAATTATGATAAGTCTGATAAATCAAATGAGTACTCTATTGCTTTTAATACATAATATATTATATATTAAGGCATTTCAAAAGTATTTTTTTGCAATATTTAAATTTTTTAAGCCCCAAATGTTGATAGTTGAAAATTTTCAATTTTAACATCTAAATTTAACACTCAAAGTTGAATATAGAATTAGTCATATTGTCTATAATATATATCCTATTGCCATGAAACTTTGTAAGCAGTCTTATAATTTAATAAGCTTTGGTCATACCAAGTTTCATTAAGATTAGTCAACTTTTTCTACCCTATTAAGAGGTGAAATCAGGAAATATAGAATCTGTACTTTGGCAACTTCCCTGAATGATTTGATGGTTTCAATTTATCAAATAGCATAAAACTAAAGGATTAAAACTTTTATGTGATAGAATTTCTGCAAAAATGACCAATTTTGGCATTTTATGGTCAAAATAAGCATTTCATAGCTTTTTCAATTTTGATGCATAAGTGGCATTCTGACTTTCTATCTGACAGGTTTTCATGTGTCAATATTTGTGTTTCTATGCTTCAATCCAGTTGTATTACTCATTTGTGAACTCTGAATCTACAGAAAAGAAGATTATCTCAGACAATATGTTCAAAATGTGTTGTATATATGGTCCTCGTTTAACGCCCTGTTTGGATCGAGTTAAATGTGAGGAGCTTGGAACATAAAAGTTGAAGTCCATTATAAAGACCTCACTAAATTTGTATAAAAAGCACTTAACAATGTCTTTTGTACCTGTTTTATGTCACATAATATCTTTCTTTTCTTCTGTAGGATAGCAAGTGGTTCAAATATAAGCCTGTTGAGACTAAAATTGCATGCATGTTTTTCACTAAAAAGTGAAAAATCTTTGTATCAGACCATACTGTTTGCAAAAAAAGTTGAATGCAAGAGTCTTTTTGTGCTCAGATTTATTGTATAATGTCACCTGAGTATAGAAATGATAGAAAAGACACAAAATTTTATTTCATATAGCTTCAATATGCATTTTTAAATGTAAATATGTGATACGGCCTAAATTGACCCTAAATTATTTTCAGTCTTACTTGGCCTAAGACCCTTTTAAACTAATGCGATATGTTATTTGTAAGTTTTCTTTCCATTTAAAGTACATTAAATACATATGTAAGGATTATTCATAACCAAAAAGCTTTAAAAATTTAAAATTGCTGGAAAATATTACATCTTCATGTAAGGCCCCCCTTCATTGGAAAACCTCCATTTTTAGCCACAGGCTCATATAAATTTGACTTTTTAATAATTATGATAAGTCTGATAAATCAAATGAGTACTCTATTGCTTTTAATACATAATATATTATATATTAAGGCATTTCAAAAGTATTTTTTTGCAATATTTAAATTTTTTAAGCCCCAAATGTTGATAGTTGAAAATTTTCAATTTTAACATCTAAATTTAACACTCAAAGTTGAATATAGAATTAGTCATATTGTCTATAATATATATCCTATTGCCATGAAACTTTGTAAGCAGTCTTATAATTTAATAAGCTTTGGTCATACCAAGTTTCATTAAGATTAGTCAACTTTTTCTACCCTATTAAGAGGTGAAATCAGGAAATATAGAATCTGTACTTTGGCAACTTCCCTGAATGATTTGATGGTTTCAATTTATCAAATAGCATAAAACTAAAGGATTAAAACTTTTATTTGATAGAATTTCTGCAAAAATGACCGATTTTGGCATTTTATGGTCAAAATAAGCTTTTCATAGCTTTTTCAATTTTGATGCATAAGTGGCATTCTGACTTTCTATCTGACAGGTTTTTATGTGTCAATATTTGTGTTTCTATGCTTCAATCCAGTTGTATTACTCATTTGTGAACTCTGAATCTACAGAAAAGAAGATTATCTCAGACAATATGTTCAAAATGTGTTGTATATATGGTCCTCGTCTAACGCCCTGTTTGGATCGAGTTAAATGTGAGGAGCTTGGAACATAAAAGTTGAAGTCCATTATAAAGACCTCACTAAATTTGTATAAAAAGCACTTAACAATGTCTTTTGTACCTGTTTTATGTCACATAATATCTTTCTTTTCTTCTGTAGGATAGCAAGTGGTTCAAATATAAGCCTGTTGAGACTAAAATTGCATGCATGTTTTTCACTAAAAAGTGAAAAATCTTTGTATCAGACCATACTGTTTGCAAAAAAAGTTGAATGCAAGAGTCTTTTTGTGCTCAGATTTATTGTATTATGTCACCTGAGTATAGAAATGATAGAAAAGACACAAAATTTTATTTCATATAGCTTCAATATGCATTTTTAAATGTAAATATGTGATACGGCCTAAATTGACCCTAAATTATTTTCAGTCTTACTTGGCCTAAGACCCTTTTAAACTAATGTGATAT